CTCAGTGGATTAAGGGACTGGTGACCATGCCAAAGTGCCAGGTCAGAAGGTAGGAAAGATGAGAAGCCTCAATTAGGCAAGAACTAATGTCCAGGCCTGTCCAAGGCAAGCCAAGCGATCAGCAAACTTCGGTGCAGCAGAAAGAGGAGATCATGAAGCGCTTCAAGACACAGCGATGTGAAAAGGCACCGGGCAAGATATAAATTTCAAAGGTCTGGCGACACGGGCTTCCAGCAGCAGGGTCATCAAACAACGAAAGAAGAATCCGCTGAGATTATGAAAATGAGGCAGCTGAGAATAATGACTGGTAATTTTCAAGTCTGGAGGCGGTTCTGATTTCCAGGGCTATATATTTCAGCCCACGACGGATACCATCTCTTCGATAAAAGCATAAAGAAGCACGTTTCTGGGGAGAGGGTTATCCTGCCAGGGGACAAGCTGATCAACCAGTTGCACAGTGCTCCAAGCCAGGGGAGGAGTTAGAAGGGCTGGGCAGCGAACCAGCAAAGGAGAAACTCCGGTGTTTAAACTTCAAGTGGAAACGCACCAGTAGTAGACAGCACCTCACTGCCAAGAAGCGCTTCAGAGAACGGCCCCCGGTACGTGGCCCATCTGGTTCGACCTAGCGAAAGTTCTCTGCTACCGATTCCTCGACAAGTAACTAAGCATGTGCCGGAACGAGAGAGGTGATGCTTCGGAGACAAGGGAGAAAATCTTTCTTGACAAACTGTAAAATTCGTGCAGACGAAATGCCAGGTTCGGATTCAGAATGAAAGGACAGAGTTACTTCATACTGAGTAGAGGAATCCTTTTAACTTACTTTTGTTTTTTGACATGATGCTAAATGTGCATCATCTAACCATTCTCACAGTTGTGAGATGATAGGTCATTGTTGTGTTGATTTGTATGTCCTTGCTAATTGTCTTTTGGCCATTTTATATTTTCCTTGAGGACCATAGTTTGATGGGAGTTGGGTTTTGTTGTTGTTATTGAGCTTTATGTATCTTGGAAACTAGCCCTTTACCTAATGTATGATGTTTGAACATTTTCTCCCATAAATTATGGTATTCCATCTCTTTTTTGGAACAGTTGTTTTTATTTTATTTTTTAATTTTTATTAGTGAAACACCATGAGGTACAGTTGTAGACTTACAAATTTTTGTGCTTGGGTTTCAGTTATAGAATGATCCAGTTGGTATTCTTATCTTGAACTCATCCCCCACCCCACCCCCACCAGACAGGAGCTTTTAAGTTAGATACAGTCTTATTTCTTTCTTTTTCTTTCTTTTTTTCTTGGATCATACCTAGCAATGCTCAGGGGTTACTCCTGGCTCTGCACTCAGGAATCACTCCTGGCGATGCTAGGGGGGACCATATGGAACGCTGGGGATGGAACCCAGGTCAGCCTCATAAAAGGCAAATGCCCTACCCACTATTCTATCAATCCAGACCCTCATTTGTTTATTTCTGCTTTTGTTTTATCAGTGGAGAGGTTCTGTTAAAGACTTCTCTGAGGTCAACAGCACGAAGAGTACTACTATGCTTTGCTTGATGGATTTAATAAGTGGATCCGGGTATAATATCAAAGTCTTTAACTCATTTTTTAAAATAATTATTTTAAAATAAAATAACTTGCATTTTCATTTTTGTTTTTGTACTGAATCATAGTGACATACACAGTTGCAGAATTGTTCATGATTGTGGTTCAATCCTATCATGTTCCAACACCCACCCCTTCACCAGTGTACATTTCCCACCACCCATGTCCCCAGTTTCTCTCCCATCACCCCAAACCACCCCCTACTCCTTCTGGCATCAGCAGGCACTTTTTTTTATGCTTTATTTTTTTTTCCAAGCAGGCACTTTTCTTCTCCCTCTTCCTCTCCTTCTCTTCCTCACCGCTCTGCCCGCTCTCATTTCTTTTGGGCATTATGATTTAAAATACAGATGCTGAAAGGCTATCATGTAGATCCCTTTACCTATTTTAAGCCTTTTTAAAAAAATTTTATTAGTGAGACACCATGAGGTACAGTTGTATACTTACAAATTTAAGTGCTTGGGTTTCAATTATACAATGATCAGATACCCATTCCTCCACCAGTGCCCATTTCCTACCACCACGGGTCCCAGTATCCATCCCACCTCCCATCCCCCTCATCCCACCCTGCCTCTGTGGCAGGGCATTCCCCTTTGTTCTCTCTCTCCTTTTGGGTGTTGTGGTTTGCAAAAGAGGCATTGAGTGGCAATCCTGTTTGGTCTATAGTCTACTTTCAGCATGCTTCTCCCATCCTGGGAGAATCCTCCCAACACCCTTTATTTGGTGCTCCCTTCTCTATCTGAGCTGCCTTTTCCCCTAGCATGTGTGGCTGGCCTCCAAGCCATGGAGCAAAATTCCTGGAACTAATCTCGGCCATTCTTGTGTGTTAGTATCCAGATGAACGCAATCTTTCTATGTCTATCCCTTTTAAGCCTTTTTGAAATTAACCTTTGCGTATGGCATGAGGACAAGGTCTAGTCTCACTTTTTCACATGAGGCTAACTATTTTTCCCAGCCCTGTTTGCTAAAGCGGTCTCTCTACTCCACCTAGCCCCTTTGTTGTAGATTAACTGTCCATACAGCATGGTTCACCTTGAAGTTTTCAATCCTATTTCACTCTCTTTATTCTAATACCATAAAGTTTTAATCATGGCAGTTTTACAGTATAAAGTCAGGGAATGCAACAGTGTCCATCTTTTTTTCTCAGGATTGCTCTGTTGATTCTGTGAGTGTTACAGCTCCACACAATTTTTAGAAGTATTTGTTCTGTGTCCTTGAAGAATACCATGGGAATTCTGATGTGGAAAGTGTTAAATTGGCAAATTGCTTAAGGAAGGGTGATCATTTTAATGACCTTGATTCTTCAAGTTCACAAAGGATGTATTTCCATTTTTTTGTTGTTTTCTTTAATTACTTTCAATAGTGACTTATAGTTTTCACTATCTCATCTCCTTTGGAAAGGAAATTCTTAGAAACTTCAGCTCTTCAGGAACGATCTTAAGTGACGTTTTCTTCTTTCTTGCTTTTCTATGCTGTTTACATATAAAAACGTAACATATTCCTGTGCACCGAGTAAGTAACCTTACTAAACAGATTTATTGGTAGAGTCTTTAGGGTTTTCTATGTACAATATCCTATCATCTGCAAACTCATGGCAATCTGACTTTTTTGCCACTTTGAATCCCTTTATCTCTCTTGCCTGATTGCTGTCACTAATGCTGTATTCAGTAATAGCCATGAAAGTAGACATCCCTGTTCTGTGTCTGGTCTGAGGGGAAAGGCTTTTAGTCTCACCATATTAAGTATAATGTTGGCTGCAGATTTCTTTTATATGGTCTTTACTGAGGTGAGTTCTGCAATCTGTGTTATGTCAAATGGTTTCATCATAAATAGATGCCAAATCTTGTCAAACACTTTCTCATTATCTATAGAAATGACCAATGCTTTTCATACTCCGTTTTATGAATGTGTTGCATCACGTTCATTTATTTACATATACTGAACCATCTTTGCATCCCTGGAGTAAATACCACTAGATGGTGTATATGACCTATTTAATGTATTGTTGTATTCAATTCACTGGGATTTCAGTGAGGATCTTTGCATCTGTGTTCAACAGACATTCTTCTGTCTAAAGTACACCAATTATAGCAATCTATACCAGGGGGTGATATAGCCAGTACAACAAACTTCTCTTACTAGTAAAATTGAGTCCATTTACATGAAAAGTAATTACCTTTTGACTGAATTTAAAGTTACTACCTTATACTCTTTAATGCCCTTTTTACCTTTTTTAAAAAAATAATGCAATGCTATTTTATTGCACTACCCCTCTTTTAACTGTTTGATATACACATTTTATTCTTTTAAAAGTTACCTTTAAATTTACAATATGCTTCCTTGTCTGGCTATACAACAGATCATTACTTTCACTAAACTACCCCCACAATAACCCTAGAATATTAAACGGCTTTAAACAGAAACCATCCCCTGCCCTTGCCCAACCTGCACCTGAGGCTACTACCATCCCTCGGGGTGCTTCCAGGAGCCCCTGGAGAGGGCAGTACTGTCCACTTTGAAAAATACTGACCTAGAACACCCTCTTGGTTTCTCAAAAGAATTTCAAATTATGCTGAAATTCTCTATTCATCTATTTCTCTTCCCCTCCACTGTGTGGTTATTTCATTAATAGTTAAGGTGCTTATCCACTACCTCCAACATCTGGTTCCTTTGAGGATCTGTTGCGTTCACCTTGTGTATCGGTCCCAGATCTTGCCTCCTGGGATGTCGAGATAGATTTTACTGTACGATGAAATATTTTGTATTTCTTACCCGCATTAAAAAGACCCAGGATCTAGGCTGCATCTAGATTTCATTTTTTGCTGGGCTCAATCTCTCTCTTGTAGCCCCTCTTCTTTTTTTTTTTAAATTGTTTATTTTGGTTTTGTTTTGGGGCCATACCCTTTGGTACTTGGGGGTTACTCCTGACTCTGCCTCAAAGCCGACCTATATTTTAGGAACACGCCATATGGCTATGGGAAACTTGAAGGAGTCTTTACAAGTCTTTCTTGACCTATTTGATCAGCTCTCCTCCAACAACGTCTTGTTGAGAAAACCAGATGAACAGATGAGACCCAATTCTTCCACCAAGTCCCACTTTGCTACCGTGATCTGCGTACACAGAAATGAAAAAAGTCGGGAATGCTTATATGCTTCTAAGCGATTGCCTCTTCTCTCTGGAATTTTCATCTCACTACATTGCTCATGACTTTGAGTACTTGGAAGCCTTTAAAATGTGACGGATATAAAAGTCATCAGCATCGCTAAGAACCTCCAAACTGTGCCAATGCTACTTAGCATTTCCAATGAATTTCTAAATATTCATGTAATATCCACTCTTTCCCAGAGTACAGTTTAAATATGCCTTTGAAGTAAAAGCACCAGGAAAATAGTCACTTCTTACCTCTTCATAAAACTTCACCTGAGGTACAGCTTCATTAATTTCATTCAAACAAAAATCTTTAAATAGCAAGAAACCTAAAGGGAAAGAATAAAACATTTCAGGGTGGCAGTAAACAGAAATTTCTCCCCACAGGAAGGTTTCAAATCAATGTACTTGTACCTCAACTTCTTCCTCCCCTACTGTAGAAGGAGCAGGGAGGGGAAGAGAAGGAGAGAGATTTTCAAGGTTCTAGTTAGACCCTCGCGGGGAAGACTCAATAAAGCCAACGTGTCATGTTCCTGGTGTCTCGTTGGGGAATTCTCTATTCACAACCCTCCCTCCCTCTTTAAAAAAAATTCACAATACTTAAATCTTGATTAGAGAGAGAGAGAGAAAAACTTTCACAACTTTTCTAGTCTTTTCTTTCACCCACTAACACAATGTCCCTCAAAATGCCCAGCAAATACCTCAAGTGAGAGCAAATTACCCACTCCCAGTCTCTGAAATTACTCCTGGCCTGGTTCTGCACTCAGGAATTACTCCTGGTGGTGCTCGAGGGACCATACAGGATGCCGGGGATCAAACCCGGGTGGGCCACATGCAAGGCAAGCGCCCTCCCCGCTGCACTGTTGCTCCAGCCCCACCTCTGTTCTTAAGGCCTGACTTACGGCATCTGCTCCTCATGTCTCCCTGACAACCCTTGAAACAATCTGTCTCTTGGGCCTGCTGTATCTACCACTTCCACACCACAGTGCGTGGCCCACGGTAGGAGGCAAATAAATATCTGTGGAACAGATGGACATTTATAGGTCCCTACTTGGCCCACCCCACAATTCTACTGGCCTGTCCATCAATCCAGAGTCTAGAGGAAGGCTTTCCACAGAGCCGGGCCTATCTGAGAGAGAAGATGCAATGCCAAGATGATGGCCCTCTTGGAAGCTTGCCACAAGTGGGGGGGGGCACTTATGATAGAGAAAGGACCACTATGATAATGGTAATTGGAAATGATCGTTCTGGATGAGAACTGAGTGCTGAAAAGAGGTAAAGGAACATACAAAATGATCTTTCAGCACCTGTATTGCAAACTGTGATGCCCAATGGGGGGTGGGGGGGAGAGAGAGAGAGAGAGAGAGAGAGAGAGAGAGAGGAAGGAAAACTGGCTGTCATAGAGGCAGGCTGTGGAGGGTGTCAGGAGGGAAACTGGGAGCATTGGTGGTGGGAACTGTGCACTGGTGAAGGGAAGGCTGATGGAACATTGTATGACTGAAATCCAGTTACGAACAACTTTTTAGAGTTTATTGAACTGTGATTCAATACACAGAAAGAGAAAAAAAACAGGAAAAGCTGAATGCCAGGCTGAGGGAAGAGATTCTGGGACATCACACACAGACACAAAACCTGAGAACTAGAAGAAGAAGCAAGTTGCAGAAAGGGAGCTTCTGAAGAAAGAGCCCCACAGAGTGGGTCGACCTGAGAGGGGACAGGTTCCTGAGGATTCCCTGGTGCTAGGCCAAGCCCACTGCCAGGAGGCGAGGACCCCGCCACCACCATCCCGAGATCCAGCAGAGCTTTTTCCTTCTGTATTGGGACCACTTGGTTCAACAGGTCAGGCTGGGCTAAACCAGGCCGGGTGCGGACCAGAAGCAGGAGTACAAGGGGGCGTCTCACTCACAGATACAGAAACACATGAACATAAATAAAGCGGTAGACAAAGACAAAGGGGTAGGAACGAAGAAGCCGGCTCTCTGCCAGTTTGTGTATTAGTCATTTCACTTGAGATCACCATACAGGTTATCTCTTCATGCCCGCTTGTTTTGAACTCATGCCAGCTTTCATTTGGCACCCTGCTGGCTCCTGAGTCATTCGGAAACTGGGCAGCTGAATTTCCAAACTTTGGGGCTCCCCCGCTGCACCCCACACACTTCTCTGATAAGGTTTTGGTTTAATCCTGCTGTGTGCAGAGGGCAGATCCAGGATGATTTCACTGCTTTCCCTGAAACTTGGTTTGGGCCCCAAATGTGGGTCAGGGTGCAGTGTTTCCTTAAAAAAAAAAAAGATTAGTACCAGGAGGTTTGCTCCATGGCTTGGAGGCCAGCCATATATGCTAGGGGAAAAGGCAGCTCAGATAGAGAAGGGAGCACCAGATAAAGGTGTTGGGAGGATCCTCCCAGGATGGGAGAAGCATGCTGAAAGTAGACTATAGACCAAACAGGATTGCCACTCAATGCCTCTCTTGCAAACCACAGGACCTAAAAGGAGAGAGAGAGAACAAAAGGGAATGCCCTGCCACAGAGGCAGGGTGGGATGGGGGGGTTGGGGGGGAGGGATACTGGGACCCGTGGTGGTGGGAAACGGGCACTGGTGGAGGGATGGGCATTTGATCATTGTATAATTGAAACCCAAGCACAAAAATTTGTAAGTCTGCAACTGTACCTCATGATGTCTCACTAATAAAAATTAAAAAAAAAATTAAGGCCTGGATATAGATCAATGGTATTGAGGACTGTTAAAATTTCCCTTGGCAATTGTGAAAATTTTGATTTTTTAAAAAATTATTATTATTAGTTTCGTTTTGTCAGGTTTTGCTTTGTGCACTTTTTCCTAATATTTTTTGGAAGATAAAGCTAAGCCAAGATTTGAACTGACATATTTTGAACACGGGAGAGATTTGCTTTTGAGATGTCAAGGATGACAAAATAATATGTCTCACGTGGGCTGTTGGTTTTGGACTGCAGTTGAAATAAAATTGAAAACATTCATCAAGGCCAGTCCTGTCGCTACTTTCTTCTCCAGGGTAGGCCGGGAGCACTCTCTCCTCCGAGCCCCGGGGCCAAGTGTCTGAGTTTCCTTTCTCAGTCACTGACAGGGCATCAGTCACTGCTTGGGGCTTTCTAAATGTAACTGTCCTCACTTCCTCATATACACTGTCCCTGGGTCCTGTGGTCCTTCAGAGCTCAGCTCGAATGACCCTCTCCATTGATCTTTTCAGAGTCTTGCTCATTTGGGCTGTTGTTGTTTTGGTCTGGGGGCCCCACACGGCAGGGCTTTGCACTTGGGAATTACTCCTGGCGGGGCTTGGGGGGCATAGAATGGGATGCCAGGGATTGAACCCAGGTCAGCTGCGGGCAAGGCAAATGCCCTACCTGCTGTACTATAGCTCTGGCGTCTTGTTTATCTGTATTGTCTCTCTTACCTATATCATGGGCTGGAGCGATAGCACAGTGAGGAGGACGTTTGCCTTGCACTTGGCCAGCGTTCGATGCCTCTGCCCCTCTCAGAGAGACTGGAAAGCTACCGAGAGTATCTCGCCCGCACGGCAAAGCCTGGCAAGCTACCTGTGATGTATTCGATAGGCCAAACACAGTAACAACAAGTGTCATGATGGAGGCGTTACTGGGCCTGCTCGAGCGAATTGATGAACAACGGGAGGACAGTGCTACAGTGCTACCTACATCATATCACTTTCCCTTCACAAATGTACCCCATATGTCCAAACGTCGGTAACAGGTAGACTGCACTCCCAATCTTCATCGGCAGAGTTGATTTACTTCTCCATTTTCTACCTCTTCCCCTACAAGGCAAGCTGAATGTGGAGAGGCCGCAAATATCTAATTTTATACTCTCTTTGAGCCACAAAAACTCCATAGAAGGAAGTTCGGAGAAAGAAAAGAGGGAGGAGGAGGAGGGAAGGATGGTTGAAAAAGAAAGAAACAAAAAAAGGAGGATAAGGAGTGAAGGAGTTGAACGAGTGCAACTTAAAGTGATTTTACTTACTTTAAAGAAACTTCCATTATATAAAATAATCTAATATGAATCTGACACCCAAGGACAGTAGACACCAGGGCCAGGAATATTGCCCAATGGCTGGAAGCCTGCCTCATGAGCTGGGGGAGATGGCAGCTGGGATAGAGAAGGGATCACTAAGACAATGATGGTTGGAGAAATGGTTCGGGATGGGAGATGTGTGCTGAAAGTAGATAAGGACCAAATGAAAGTAGATAAAGGACCTCTCAGTATCTGTACTGCAAACCATAGTGCCCCAAAGCAGAGAGAGAGTGTGGGGGAAATTGTCTGCCACGGAGGCAAGGGGAGGGCTGGAAAGGGGGGGAGGGGCATACTGGGGACATTGGTGGTGGGGAATGTGCACTGGTGGAGGGGTGGGTGTTTGATCATGGCACGATTGAAACTCGAACATGAAAGCTTTGTAACAGTATCTCACGGTGATTCAATGAAAGAAAGAAAGAAAGAAAGAAAGAAAGAAAGAAAGAAAGAAAGAAGGAAGGAAGGAAGGAAGGAAGGAAGAAAGAAAGAAAGAAAGAAAGAAAGAAAGAAAGAAAGAAACTTTTATTGTCAATGTATAGGGTCAGCAAAAGAAAAAAATCATCTCAATCCATTGCAGTGGGAAAAAAAACCAGGATGCTTCTCACATCTGTACAAAAATTCTAGCTTTGCTTTTTTGTAACTGTTAATATGGAGCAGTAAGGAGAAATAGATTCTGCCTTTTGGATAAATCCTAGATCATTGTGTTCCAGGCTAAAAGCAATTTACCTTCATCAGGCTTAAATTACATAAAAAAAAAAAGAAAGAAAAACACAAATGAAGCATTACTCAGATTAGAACAAAAGCAAAAGGGCAAAAAAGGAAATAATGTGACTTAACAGGTTCACTTCATCAGTGCTATTTCTCCAGATTTTAAAGAATAAAAAATTGTGACCCAACACCTGCTTACTAGATAATTGTGGAATGTGTTTACCCTTGTTTCTATATTTGAACCACAGCAAACTGCCTGAATACTGATTAACTTTCGCATAACATCCAGAAAAAGCAAACTATCCCAATTTGCTACCTCTCTCATGCAAAACCCAGAAGAAAGGATTGTATTGCTCTTCAAAATAACAATAAATAAATCATCAATGCACATTTCTGTATAATATAAATGTAACTCAATTTGCTTATCCAGGTTTCAGGACCACACCAAGTGGTGTTCAGGAGCGAGGTACTCTCAGAATACTTCTCCGCGCAGCGTTCAGGAGACCGTGCAGTGCTGGGTGGCAAACCCAGACCTCTGGAATGAAAAGCTTTTATGTCGCAGCTC